ATATTTTATTGTACTTACTGTTTATAATTCTAATAAGCTTATTCACATTGTTTATAAATTATGTCTAAATATTATGTAATTTCCACAATTCTCTATCTTTTTGTATCTTGTCCGTTCTAGCCCTGATGAAGACCTGCAAAGTCGGGTCGAAACGTTGGCTTTCAATAAAATAGTTTTACCACTATTTAGCCTTTTTATGACCGCAACCCCGGACCATCTCCTTCCTTTATAATGCAACGGTCAACCATTAAATATTCAATTAAATATTTATACATTCGTATGATAATATATCATATGATGAGACGTTAATTAGTATAATACAATTATGCAATATTGATACTTTTTTACTTTCACTTACCTATATATATAATATATTGTAAGGGAAAGTATTGCGATCGTCAAAATTTTTTAATCTGCGTTTTCAACAGAAATACACGTTTAGAGGTCACCTGAGTCTTATAACCAAGTCCTGCAGAGTGTTCTGTGTGTGAACAGCCTAGTCCAAAAACGAAAAGTAAGAAATTGAAATTTCGTATTTAAAGTTTGTATGTGGCTCGGATGTGACAACTTTTTCGTTAAAGTTGGCTAACCGCAAATGCCACTTTAAATTATAGATTTTAGACATTTTTACAATTTTCTCGAAAACGGCTCTAATGATATTAATTTAATTCATTATATCAGTTCAAGATAAAACGTTGTTTAATATAATGTAGGTCTTATTCTCATTGGTGTTCTCTCTCAACGCCTAAATGCCAAATGTTTAATTTTTTTCCTCTAAAGTAGCTTTTATTTTTTTTATTTATAATAAGTATTATTTTTATTTATTAGAAATAATCATTTCATATTAGAACTTGATATAAACAATAGTTAAATATGAAATGTGAACGAATTCTGTAGTGATAAAAAGGATAAGTAACCTAATAATAATGGAGAGCCGACGAAATCCGAGCGCGCAGCCGGGTTTAGCCAAAGGTTAGAACGGGCATCTATACATCATGCGCTGTTTTCATAAATGTGGTTTCGTGAAGCGTTGATATTTAATTACATTCATTAAAACTACATACAAATTAAAACTTATTTTATTAAACTTATTAAAACTTCACCAATGCTCAAACAAATAAAAATATCTACATTGAAATATACACTGACAGGCAAAAAATTCCACGCACTTGTTACCCATTAAGGAACCACGTTGGAAAGGTTGGCATTATCTGCATTAGAATAGAATGATCGCCGATTTCTTTGAGGATTTTTTTTTTTTTTTATCTATCTGTTTATTGAGTAATAATACATTTTGCCACACTTAAGGGCACTGAGTATTAAGGCTGAAACAGGCACATTCATACCATATATACAATACATAAAAAAAATAATAATAAATAAGTAAATAAATAAAAAAATAAAAAATATAAAAATCTATATTCTTTGAGGATAGGCAACACATGAGGTTCCAAAATCTCATCTACATAGCGAATGCCCTCCTCGAACAACAACCAATTCTGTGCGGCGCTCCGTTGAAATCCCAGCCCACACCATTAAGGAACCACGTTGGAAAGGTTGGCTCTGGGAAAAATTACAGGCTGCATATCTTTCGTTTCTTCTTCTCCTCACCCTTTCACGCCCGTCTGGAGAACGAAGAGCGAATCTTGACTCATCTGTAAAAAGTAAAGCACTCCATTCGTCCATAGCCCAATGGCTGTGTTCTCGAGCAAAAGCCAGCCGTGTTACTCTTTGAGTTCTGGTCAACTCTGGTCCTCTTACTGGACGAAAAGCCATTAATCCATACCCATTTAATCTTCTTCGAGCGGTACGTTCAGAAATTTGCACACCTCGAACTTCTTCGAGCTGATGAATCGCTTGAACAACGGTAAGGTGCCGGTTTCGTAAAATTCTCAAAGTCAAAACCGGTCATCCCGTGGTTCTGTTACCCTAGGCCGTCCAGAACCGGGCCTTCTATTGTAAGAAACAGTTTCCTGAAAACGCCTGACGGCGACTCGTAAAGTTTCATATGGAACTCCGATGGCATTAGCTGCATATCTAATCTAACGTCCATCATCAATAAGTGCCACACCACGCGCAACATCCTCAGCACTAAGAAGCATTTTTAAACTTAATATAGAAAAAATTAAAAGCCGGAGACTAAGAAATGTGTTGCAAGAAACGGCACTGAACTAATGATACTGAATAAACATTTTTATTCCTTAGAAAATAAACATTGGAATCTAAAATCATTTCATTGAATTAAGGATTAAGGGTTATTGTCCTCTATATTAACATTCCTAATTGAAAAAAACAAAACAAAAAGATTACCTATTTATTCATTAAAAACAATAGACCAATCCAAAGCAGAAATATTTTTAGATGAAAAAATCAAGTGGGGGGAATTTTTTGCCTGTCAGTGTATATTCCATCCCCTAAAACTACCTCCTTTCTCGTCATTCGTGCTGCTTCCTTATGGAACTCACTTCCTATCTCTATGCGTCAATCCTTGTCCACAAATTCCTTCAAATAACTCCTGTTCCAACACCTACTCCACATTCAAACTTCCCCTAACATGTAAAATTACTTGCAACTGTAAAATGTTTAAATTCAATCTATTGCATAATTGAAATAACAATTAACAGTAAATTCGTTTGTATTTTGATTATTATGTCAGACTAAGACCCATAAATTTGTAACTTTATTATTCTTAGGGAACAGTAGTCTCAGAATAAAATTATTTTTTCATTTCAATACTCTTTCCCGGTCTTTTTTTAAATTTTATTTTATTTCTTTTTTAGTCTTTCCTACCTCGCCATTTTAGGCTATATGGGATTTCCCCGGGCCGGAAATTTAAAATTACCTCCAGCACTGGGACGCGAACTCGTACTTATTTTTGTCTCTCAAAACTTCATATATCTGGTTGCCAGCAACTCGCGGTGCTGTGCACACGCTTTAGTCCATTCGGCCACCCCGCCCCCACTCGTTCCCGGTCTTCTGATTAATACATAAGGGCTCACCGAACCGCTGCTATAGACAGATCGTTCATTATCCGATCTTCATTCCTATGAAACTCCATCCCTCCCCACATCCGTCAATCCAAAACCCTTCCAACCTTTAAATCCCGCCTGTTCAATCATTTCTTATCCATCCAGTCCCCATAAAATTGTAAATAGTTACTACTGTAAATATGTATATAAATTATTAGATCGTTCTTCATTATTTTTATTTCATGTTTATTTTCAATTTTTTGCTTTTTATTATTAACTGATCTAAATTAGTAAGTAACTTATAATATTTTCTATTATTTTTTTTATTTTGACTATTTAATTACTCTATATTTTTGTTTATGTCCCTTAGCCCACATTATTGTCTTTATATATTATTCTAAAGGGATGCGTCCCAGAATAAAGCATTATTATTATACACGTAAGTGAAAGTAAAAAGTATAATACTTATATATCTATATAAATAAAATAAAGGTTTTGTCTGTATATGGAATAGAATCAACCCGTTTTATGATATCTTTCCGTTTCATACATTGCAGACACCAAATCCACTTTTAAAACATGTTTTGTCTGTCTGTATGCAACAAAATTTCTCTCTCTGCAAAGAAAAAAGCTCAGCAATGGCTTATGGTCGACTTTTGAAATTTTGACATTATATTAAGGTTTGCTTGACTTAAAACATAGGCTTTAAATGAAAACAAAATATTGAGTAGAACCAAAGTTATGAATTCTTGAGTAACTTGTCTAGAGATCCCGGTTAGGCAGTTACTTACTTCGATTCCCATTCCAACTAACTCTCTCACGAGCCACATTTAAAAGTAGTACTACTCAACTGGTGGAAAAAATTATCACAACTCAACAGGAAAAATCCGGGATACCGAACATCTGTAACATATTATAGCTTAAAACATAATCATTTTTCATCATTCAGCCTAACAAATGCTGTCCTATACATTTTTAGGATTCACCAAACGGATTAGCCGGAAATCAGGGAAAAAACTCCCAAATATTTCACCCACAATATTCAGATCAAGTTCTAATTTTACAGGGATGTAGGTGATCCAATGTCCAATTTTATTTTGCCAGCGATAAGCTCAGCAAAGTTTAAAGAAATGGAGAGACTACAACTCTTTTTGATTAATTAATCGACTCCACAATCTCCTCGCTTCATCATAAATGAAAATTAAAAGCTTAATAAATTTTAATAGATGGGTGGTGGTCGGCTTAGATGTGTGGTACCTAAACAAATAGCCGAATAATAAAGTTTTTGTTATGACTATTGCGAAACCTTGACTTCCATAAGCCCCGACATAAAAAATTTCAAAATACCCTTCTCTTCCCTCCCGAACCAATTTTATGAAATTGAATTTGGACCCTCCACCCCATAATACAAAATCCATCTAAAAAAAAATTCTCAAATTTTAACTATACACCCGTCAACGACAGGTAAATCGGCTAGTGTAATACATAGGAAAGGAAAGTATTGCATCTTAATTTTTTTTTTTACTTTCATACCGCTAATAGGTAAGATCAAATTACCAATATGCGCTTTTCAACTGATCTTTGTGTTTTAGAGCCCCTGAGTCTGAAAAACATATTTATAGCCATTCCTCTATCTGTCTGAGCCAAGATTATCTTGGAAAGGAGAGGACCGATTCTTTTTTGGCTCGGTAGAATTTTGAAGACCGATTCCTGTGAGAAAAAAAAATAGGGCAATCTCTATGCAATAGCAGCTGCAAAATAAGAGAAAAACATGTTTTTCTAAAGACTTTACCGCAAAAATGGCTCCAACGATTTATATGAAACTTTCCTTTATCTTCTATTTAAAGTTCTTCTATTTTTTATATATGTAGTGCTTTTACAAGAAAATTCAAGAAAAAATTTTATAAAGAAAAGAAAAATGAAAAAAAGGAAGTAATAAAAAAAAAAAAGAAAAGGAGATTTACGAGAAAAATTACTAAAACAAAAAAGTTAAAATTTATTCACAAAAATACAAAATACTCTTTGATTGACTTAATGCCACTTGTGAGAGGACATGGATCTGATCTTCAACTTCATAGCTCCATATGCTTTCATAACTTTCTCCCTTTCTTCAGTCAGCTGTTTGATATCTGATATTGACTTGTCTTTATGAGAGAAAAAGCTGTTCAGTAAGAGCTGCTTATTACCAGGCTAAGAGTAAAAAAACAAAAAAATAAATAATCAAACTTATTCTTAAAGAAGTTAAATGTCAAGGCCATAATAACAAAATTTGTACACAGTTAATAGTTAAAGTTAAATTATAAGGTAAATAATTAATGTTCAATGATAGAGGAAAAATCGATTAGGCTAGTAGTTTGACACCTACTCATTGGTTACAATAGCCTCTAAAATATGTGCACAACATTATTCATGGAATACATTTGGGTTTGTAACACAGAGCTGAATAAAATGTTTCTTAAGAATTTTATTTATTATTTATTTATTTTTTATAAAATTATTAATTTTTTAAAAAATAATTTCATTTATTTTTACATTCGCCGACGTTTCGGCCTAAAGTTAAGGCCTTCATCAGGGCTGGGAAAAGAACCAGATAACAATAGGTATAATAACATTGAATAATACAGAATTAATATTAAAAAAAGAGTGTTAGGTAAAAACTAATAATTTTTAGTAGAACAACTTAACATAAAATGAAGGAGATAGATTAATAATTGAAAAAAATAAATAAAAAAATAATTGAAAAAAATTAATAATTGTGGGTTGATGGTTGAGTGTAAAGAATAATTGAAGAGAAGGATGGTTGGGGTTATCAGTTAAATAAAAAATGGTAAAAATAAATAAATATTAGTATTTATTTTTGCCATTTTTTATTTGACTGATCACCCCAACCATCCTTCTCTTCAAAAAAATTAATATTTGAAAAAATTAAGTAGATAAATTAATAATTTTTAGTAGAACAACTTAACGTAAAATGAAGTAGATAGAATGAACATTAAAGTAAAACAAAGTAGGTAGAATGATAACAGTAACAGAGAACTAAGAAATAAATAACAATAACTCTAACAAAGCTTTTTTTTTTCAACTATCTGTCTAGTGTTCCTTATAATTATTGTCCAATTACTCTGTAAAATTCACAAAAACCATTAAAAATGCTGCTCTTATATCATACATATGCTGTATATACATCATACTGCAAATGCTTATTCTACCGATTGTGAAAAATTGCATAAAAAACCTAGAGGCTTAGAGTATTTTACAGTATTTCTCATTCATTCCAAGAATGTTGGATCTTGGAATCATTGAATGCTTGCTTTCCATATATACATCACCAAGCTAAAGAGCTGTTTCCAACAGATAGTATGAAATTTATGAGAATTTATGAAATACTAACTGAATAGATGGAAAGTATATATATTATCCGTATTTAATAAAAGTTTTAGGGATAAATTATTTTTGAAATCCTGAGATAGTAAAAGTAATTTTATTTTTTAAAAAGTTAAGAGGTATTCCGTCACATACTCAATACCTTGAGTATGACCCACATATTTGGACCGAAACGTAAGTTTATTTACAATAATGTCCCACCAATAGATGCTAGATGGGAACATATTCTGTCCTGATTAATCAGAATTTGCTATATGCAGTCTCCTCTTGTATTTTAAACAGAGATATAAGCAATGTTAAGCTCATTTAGTCATATGGATGAATGCATGTTTTTTATTACTTGTAAATTTGTCTGAGTTTTGTCTATTATATATTATAACTTAATAGTTTATTTTCATATCAGAAGACCCTTCTGTGTCAAAGACTGAGATGTATGCAACACTAAGCTTATTTAAAAATCATATGGAGGGGCAGAATAAACAAAAACTGATTTTCCCATATAAGATAGAATATATTACATCCTCTGATTTTTATAGGACATAATAAACCCCAACTCTATCTTACACTAAATGCTCTCATTCCGTTGATATACAACACTAGCTCAGATTAGACGAACCTGCAATTCCAAAATTAAACTAAAATGTAACAATATTTATTATAATGATGTAGAGTTGGTTGACCGTTGATATGATATGAGAAGGAATTAGTCGAGGGTGCGGTCAAAAAAAATAAAAAAAATTAAAATATATAAATAATTTTAATTTTTGCCGACGTTTCGACCCACTTTGCAGGTCGTCTTCAGGGCTACAAAAGATACAAACATGTTGAAAATATAAAAATAAAATAAAAAATAAATATAAGTATATATAAATTACGAAGAAGTTGTCAGATACAGAAATAAAAGATAAAGAAAATAAATACATGATAAGAAAATAGATAAAAGAAAATAAATACATGAATGTTAACGAATAAATGAATGTTAACGAATAAATTGATTGAAAATTGAATAACTATTGTTACAGTAAAGTTAAAATATGGATAAGATAACATAATAATAAGATATCAGTGGATAACAAGCAAGTGGAGGTTACCTTTGATTGTAAATAAACAGATAACGGGACCAAAGGTTAAGAAGTGAAGAAATTGAAAGATTAATAGGGTAACATTAGTGTAATATTGTTGGGATAATTATTAAGTATAAATAACTCTATAAGAAAACAATAATATTAAAAGAATACTTTAAAATGTAAGAATAAATGTAAAAACAAGGTTATGATGATAAAGAAACAAAAAACAGGTTGTACTATATATAGATGACAATTGACATTTAGTTTTTTGAAAGCGGTAATGGAATGGTAGGCTGTATGAAGATAATAATAAGGTGTATAGTTGAAGGATAGGTGTGTTAAGAAAGGAATCTCAATAAAAGTCAAAACATACCGTTGGATGTGGCACTGCGGGAGGCGGTTGAAACACTGGCATTGTCAAAAACTCTAGTTAGCAGTGTCAAAAAAAAAAGTTCTAGTAAAAATAAACGCATACATACATACACATATATACACATACAAACACACATACACACACACACACATATATATATATATATATATATATATATATATATATATATATATATATATATAAAAGGAAAAGTAAAAGAAAGTATAAATGGAAGTGAGAAGATTAAATAGAGGTTTATGATCGAGACTTTTTTAAAATGTTGATGATTTGGGAGTAGGCGAGTGATAGATTTTGCTTGTCGGTTTTTAAGTTAAGTGGTTTGTAGTCTAATTGAATGAAAACACTTTCCGTAAGTAGTCTTTTGTCGTGGTTAGGTACTGTGGCAAGAATGGAGGTATTGTCAAAGTCAAATGTGTGGTTTGAGGTTAAGGCGTGTTCAGAGAGTTTAGAAGCAGTAGAGTTCTTAGAAGTAATTGAGTATTTGTGTTGTTTGATGCGGTCTTTAAGTTGGTTTTTGGTTTCTCCAATATTGGTGGAGTTACAATTGGTGGTAGAGCAAGGAATGCGGTATACGATATTAGAGCGGTGTTGCGGAGGGATGGGGTCTTTTAGGTTGGAGTAAATATTGGCAAGTTTGTTATAGTTTTTATAAGCAACTCGCAGGTTGGGAATAGAGGAACGTAAAGATTTTTGAATTCTATCCGAAAGTAAAGGGATGTATGGTAGAGATCTATATAAAGGAATGGGGGGCTGATTTTGAGAACTAGAGAAAGGGGTGGAGGATGAGGGGCGGGTTTTGTAGTCAGTAATAAGTTTTTTTTAAAAAAAAAAAAAAAAAAAAAAAAAAAAAAAAAAAAAAAAAAACTTATTACTGACTACAAAACCCGCCCCTCATCCTCCACCCCTTTCTCTAGTTCTCAAAATCAGCCCACCATTCCTTTATATAGATCTCTACCATACATCCCTTTACTTTCGGATAGAATTCAAAAATCTTTACGTTCCTCTATTCCCAACCTGCGAGTTGCTTATAAAAACTATAACAAACTTGCCAATATTTACTCCAACCTAAAAGACCCCATCCCTCCGCAACACCGCTCTAATATCGTATACCGCATTCCTTGCTCTACCACCAATTGTAACTCCGCCAATATTGGAGAAACCAAAAACCAACTTAAAGACCGCATCAAACAACACAAATACTCAATTACTTCTAAGAACTCTACTGCTTCTAAACTCTCTGAACACGCCTTAACCTCAAACCACACATTTGACTTTGACAATACCTCCATTCTTGCCACAGTACCTAACCACGACAAAAGACTACTTACGGAAAGTGTTTTCATTCAATTAGACTACAAACCACTTAACTTAAAAACCGACAAGCAAAATCTATCACTCGCCTACTCCCAAATCATCAACATTTTAAAAAAGTCTCGATCATAAACCTCTATTTAATCTTCTCACTTCCATTTATACTTTCTTTTACTTTTCCTTTTATATATATATATATATATGTGTGTGTGTGTATGTGTGTTTGTATGTGTATATATGTGTATGTATGTATGCGTTTATTTTTACTAGAACTTTTTTTTGACACTGCTAACTAGAGTTTTTGACAATGCCAGTGTTTCAACCGCCTCCCGCAGTGCCACATCCAACGGTATGTTTTGACTTTTATTGAGATTCCTTTCTTAACACACCTATCCTTCAACTATACACCTTATTATTATCTTCATACAGCCTACCATTCCATTACCGCTTTCAAAAAACTAAATGTCAATTGTCATCTATATATAGTACAACCTGTTTTTTGTTTCTTTATCATCATAACCTTGTTTTTACATTTATTCTTACATTTTAAAGTATTCTTTTAATATTATTGTTTTCTTATAGAGTTATTTATACTTAATAATTATCCCAACAATATTACACTAATGTTACCCTATTAATCTTTCAATTTCTTCACTTCTTAACCTTTGGTCCCGTTATCTGTTTATTTACAATCAAAGGTAACCTCCACTTGCTTGTTATCCACTGATATCTTATTATTATGTTATCTTATCCATATTTTAACTTTACTGTAACAATAGTTATTCAATTTTCAATCAATTTATTCGTTAACATTCATTTATTCGTTAACATTCATGTATTTATTTTCTTTTATCTATTTTCTTATCATGTATTTATTTTCTTTATCTTTTATTTCTGTATCTGACAACTTCTTCGTAATTTATATATACTTATATTTATTTTTTATTTTATTTTTATATTTTCAACATGTTTGTATCTTTTGTAGCCCTGAAGACGACCTGCAAAGTGGGTCGAAACGTCGGCAAAAATTAAAATTATTTATATATTTTAATTTTTTTTTTTTTTTTTTGACCGCACCCTCGACTAATTCCTTCTCATAATATTTATTATATTTTAAATCCAAAGGAAAACTTAAATAATTTAAAAGAATTAAATGACTTTTTTTACCATTAGCATTACCTGCCCTATAACTAGATCAAATTTTACAGAATTATTAAAAGTTGACAATAGTGATTACCAATATCTCAATTTTGTCAAACCTGTATTTCTTTCATTTCACGAAGTATTGCAGTACGTTAAAATCATTAAAAATAACACATTGATCAATTTACACACTGAACATTTGTTCATCATAGTTGCCGATAAGTGGTAATTTATGGATTATTTATGAATGTATACATTTATCTTTTATATTTAATATCAGAAATCTCTTGCAATCAGAATGGGTGTACTTAAGCATCATCTCAGGTTTGTAGAGGCAGTTTTCCTTCTCCCTATGCCATTTCTTCATGCAAGAGTTAGCCTGGAAACTTTAAGAAGGCAGCCCCTTCATGAGACTTAGGGTATGGCATGCCCCAATGACAAGGCAAGTATCAAATGAGAAAAAGAAATTTACTTTGATGACTTACAGAGGAGATTAGACGACATCAAGGGAACCTTCATCAGTATGAGTTATCTTAATACCAGAATGAGAAAGAAAACTGATAGGTGGCTTGGAGTGATAGGACTTGGAGAAAACTTCTTGAATGACAATGGAGACATCTACATTGACTTGTAGACCGATTTCCTCTGCTTCTCTTAACAAAGTCTTAGTGAGTCTCTCAATATCCTCTTGATTGCTTCCAAAGACAGCTATATCATCTGTGTTTGCTAGGATTTTATGTTACATTCCAATAAGTACTGCTCTATCTTCACGCAATGTTGTTCTTATTACTTTCTCTAGGGCTAAGTTGAACAGTATTGGCAAGAGTCCATCTCCCTGCCTCAAACCTGTTCAAACTTCAAAGGCTTCAGATACTTCTCCTAGTATTACTATCCTGCATTTAGGATCATTTGTACACACCTTCATCAATCTCACTAATTTCCCGGAAATACTCAACTTATTCATGATTTTCCAGAGACCATTCCTGTCCATGGAATCATAGGCTACTTTGAAGTTGAAAAATAAAGGAGTGTAGGTCCTGATTTACTTCCCATCGTTTTTTCGAGTACTGGTTATAGGATAGGTCAAGCGTACTCCTTCCTCTCCTGAATCATGAATGCTTGATGGTCGCCCATTATGTTTTCATAATAACGATATATCTGCTTTAGCAGAATATTAGACATTATCTTATAGGCAAACGGCAGTAGTGCTATGCCTCTGTAATTACCACATTCATATATGGAGCCCTTCTTACATATACATACATACATACATACATACGTAAGTGGCATGACATCTCGTCACCGAGACTGGGCCTCCACAAAAAGTCTCAATCCGTTTGTTTGGTCGTTTACTGACACTCTTCAGTTTCGGACTCCAAGAAAGGCCTACGCGTCCGTAGAGACCGAGTCCATCCATTGCACGTTTGGCTGTCCAAATCACCATTTCCTGTAGAGCTCTTTGGTAAGGATCATTTTCTGAATTTCGTAGGCAGCCATCCTTTGCACATGTTCTGCCCATCAAAGTCAACCGAGCTTCACGAACTTTATTATGTCAACATCGTTGTGGAGTATCATTAGTTCAGCTCATCAACTAAGTGAGGACTTTTAGTATGTTTACCTCCTCACTAGTGCAAACTAAGTCCTGAAGTCAATAACTGTGTCGCTTCCATTTTCTTCCATCCATTCTTTTTCGAGCATTCATGGATTGGACTAGAGTGAAAGCTTCCAGAAGTGTCACCTTGAACACAAACATTGCACTCTTCTTCTTTCTTTACATTCTTATATATAGAATATATTCTATATTCTATCATAGATTTTATACAAATCTTAGTACAGTTTCTCATTAATGATGCTGTCATAGACTAAATGGATTATAATAAAACAAAATAAGTAATTTAACAATTGATAGATTATGAATATATTTTCTACATTTTTTTTTCTTTACTAGTTTTTTTCTATTTTATATAAATTTGAAACTTAATCAGAATGCAACAAAACCGAACAATGGCAGAAAATTCATTAACATTATACCAATTTTAATAATCATAAATAAAATAAAACTGATTGAACATTAAAAAATTCATAAACTGAGGAAGCATACCTTTTCTGGTAGGCATCCTTTAGGCCTTCGCTTTAGCTGTGGGGGCTGGTGAACAACTTCTCCGAACTGAACAATATCTTTTTTTTTTTCAATGGCATCTTCTTTTACTTTAATTTTATTTACCTTTTTCATTTTCACTTTTAATTTCCTTCTCAATTTCATTCTATCTTTCCTGTCCAAGATATAATCTGTTTCACCTAAAAGAAAAAAAATATATCAACTGAAGAATAAGTAAGTAAGGTAAAACACCCAGTTTTTGGCACCCGTTGGCAGTTATTTAAGAAGTATTGCACTGAAGATTCAGACCGAATAAGGATGAGTCAACCTGAGAATTTAGGCAGTTACACAATGCTGAATTTCGCGAACTGTACATGTTTAATATAATTGAGATGATTAAGTTGAGGCGAATAAAATAGGCAAGTAAAACCGCTGGACTTAGTAATGAAAGAATTATTAAATAATTAATAGTTGCTGTGCTGCCTGGCAAGTGTCCACAGGGTAGACCAAAGGAAAATGGGAAGATTGTGTTAAAGCTGATCTGGAAGGGTTGGGTTTAGAGAGAGAGGGAGGGTGGGAGAGTGTGAGAAAGGGGGAGAGGGAGAGGGTGAGCGAGAGGGAGAGAGGGAGAGATTTTTATTAAAAAATATTTACTATTTTTATTTGATTTCTTTTTATTATTAGACAAGCCATCTTCTGATTCCTTTAAATGATCATTTTTAATATTCCCAGTATTGTTATGATTCACTTCAATGTCATGTTTAGCTTCTATACTCGCCTAAAAAATATCAATAACATACGGTAAATGACAGTTTAAATCATTATTATAATAAATTGTAAAATAAAATAACAATGCATACTTCATAAATTATATCATTTGTAGCCTTATTTATCCTCCTAAAGTAACTTCCATCAGTTTCACCAGGTTTTTGTTTAAGGTTAGGCCAAACTTTTCCATCTTTATTTGATTCTTGAAAAAAAGAAAATTATATATAAAGTATTCCAACTCTAACAAAAAAATGTAAACATAATTTTTAAATTAAAAATTCACTTCTTTAAATATGTAATTACAGTTTCGTACAATTTTTCACAGTTTAAGCTAAACTGTTCACATGCACACCCAAACACACACACAGCCCTTTTAGTAAGACTTGGTTATTTGAATTAATAAGGCCTTAAAACGTTTATTTCTGTTGAGATGTTTAGAACAAACTCTTAAACTGAGAGTTGAGCTTATTGATAGTCTTGTTGTGCCCAGTTTAGTTACATATCCAATGCAATAGATGAGTTCAGTGTAGTATTTAAGAACTTGCCAAATAAATCAAATATTATGTCTTCGAGTGCCTAATTTTCACTTAAAACATTTACTAATTATCCATAAAACAAATATTTGATTTTATTTATTCATTTATTTATTTTGTTATTTTAAATTTGCCACTGCATTGGAACGCATCAAGCAAATGTGTTGGCGTTAATTATATCTTCTTGAATTCCTGATATTTTCTTAACTTTTCAGCAGATCTCTAGGCCACTGCCTTTTTGGTCGTCTTTGAGGCTGACCAGGAAACAGGGAGGAAGATAGAGATAGAACAAGTGGATTTGGATGATTGAGAGTAGAAGAGTGAAATGTTGTGTATATAGGATTTTACTTTTGGTATGTTTATGTCTGTATGTATGGTGTGATTTGAAATAAACCAAGGAGCATTCACAATTTTACAGAGTATTTTGGATTGTGTGGTTTGAATTTGGTTTATGTGTGTGTGTTTTGTGGAACCCCAAAGTTCTGCTTCGTATGTCCAAATAGGTCTTAGTATAGTGGTATAGATTAGTCCCTTGTTTAGTAAGTTGAGTGGAGATCTGTAGTCCAAAAGATGTGACAGTTGTTTGTATCGTCTAGTCAGTTCTTGTTTTTTTAATTTAGAGTGAATGTTCCAGGTGAGTTTTTTGTCCAAGTATAGTCCGAGATACCGTACATGTGTTTTTGAGGGAACTGGTTTATTGTCTATTGTCACAGAGGGATACGAGATCTTCCTCAGGGAGAAGCTAACATGAGTTGATTTGCTGGGATTGATGTAAATTCTCCATTTGTGAAACCATTTTTCAAGGTCGTGTAGGTGATTTTGAAGGGCTATTGAAGCAATAGTGCGATTTTTGTATTCTTTTACATTCTTTATTTTATTTACATTCTTTCTTCTTGCTCTAGTCTTTAATATTATGGTTTTCTGCCATCAATGCCTCAGTTAATTCTTGTTTCAAAAACAAGAGTTTTACAACTAAAACACAATTATAAGTGCTGCTTTTAAATGGGTGATAATAGGCGATTATGTTTTATATGTATAAGGTGTCCCGTATAAAGAGAGAAATATTTAAAGAGGTGATGGTAGACCTTAACAAAAAACAATGTCTGATTTTCCGCAGAAAACAAGAAAATTTGTTTTGTGTTTTTATAAGTAAGTCACGTTTTTTGATAAACAGGAAGCAATAACTAAAAGGCATTTCATCTAATTAATTACCAATTGCTTCCGAGAAGACTAGATGAAATTTACTTTTAAAAAAAGTAGAGTTTATTATTGTTAAAACCATTTAAAGTATCAGATAAACTAAACTAAGTTCTGTTTAAAAAAAAATCATGAATTATTCGCGATTTTGTTTCTTCATTCTACAACTATACTACCCCACTTTTAGAAAAAAAATTCTTGTTTAATAAGCTTTAAGTCCATATTAATTGAGTTGAGGTTTATTATGAGATAAATTGAGATTCACATCAAGTTGTGTAAAAGAATGAGGTGATTTAATATCCTATCAAATGGAAAGAAGAAACAGAAAGACATGGATTTACATTACTCGTAGCTCCATCTTTTGGTCCTTGTTTTAATAGATTAGAGATCATTTCTGGAGTTAATTATTTGACAATGACACTTCATTATTCTTATATAAAAACACTTTTTCAAATTTTCAACACTTAGATCACTTGAACCGACAACACTTCTATTTTCATATTAATAAAATTAGCAAAAAAAAAAAAAAACTGTACCACTAACACCCTTGAAGGGTTTGGGTTCTGTACTAGATTGGAATATACCGTTTCATGGTCAACGGTTGGGCGAAGAGATGATATGACAGAGATCACACTCAACTGCTAGGTCTTCTCTCTTTATTAAGAGTACCCACTTCATATGGAGTTATGCCCCAGAAGGATCTCACGACCCCAGGATCGATCCACAGCTAATTAAACAGAATAAATAATTTATCTGCCATCAGCTGGACTCGAATCTATGACTTTGAGCTTTGGAATTAGTACTCAATTTTCAAAACACTGAGTTACCCCACTCTTCAAATAAATAAAAATACTTAAAACAATATGCAGTGATAAATGGAATATCTAATAAAGATCTCTTTTTCTACATACTAACACTACTTAAGAATAGGACTATCCTAGAAAAATACTACTTACAAATAGTATTATCTCAGATGAAAACTACTTACAAATAGTATGATCTAGTAATGTTTTAATTCCTAAGCAAAACCTAATCCCAAGAAAGTTCAAATAACTAAAATAAGTTGAAATAATGCAGAAAGCAATACTTTTATGAACCTGTAATGGTTTGAAAAAAATGTGTTATATTGATAAAATTTAATTGAGCCTTTGCTTTCTTTTTTTTCTTCTCTCTTATTTCAGAAAGACAAATAAATAATATTATTTCGAAAGTTGGTTGCGGTTAAAAACTCATTTAATTATTTGCAACACTGCAATCCCCAACCATATTATCCGCAGTCAACCATTTTGACAAATGGTATCGATAGGGGATGAGTCCCACCCTCCCCTCCCACGATTTTTACAGTCAACTATTTTTTCATGATTGATACATACAATTTTTATTTATAAAAAAAACATGGTAAGAAAATAATTTATCATAAATTTTATATTATAATATACAATATAAAAATAACAAAAAAAAAATTAAATTAAGATTTTCTGTTTGAATTACCTGGTAACTGAGAAGAGCCATTTGTAATTTTATTAATATTATTGCTAAGATTAGTCTTAGATTTGGTTTTCTTTTTCTTTTTAAAGTTTCCATTCCTTACAAGCTCCCTTAATCTATTCAATTCCAAAACAGTTTTGGGTATTTCTTGAACACTTGGATCTTTAGGAGGGCAATTAATGACCTGTTTAAGTCTACAAAAATTAATAAATCAATTGAAATATTAGCTACTGCTAAACAAATTTGTATGATGGTTTTATATTAAAAAATAAATGTAATTGCCTTTTTTCTTAGTTTATTCATATTTATATTAGGATATTGAGATATTTTAATAATTAATTAATCATTGACTAATTATTAAAAAATACATTGTGGTAATTAAAAATAACATAAAATTTAATCAGATGAAACAAGATGAATGAGATAAAATTTACCAAAAGAAAAAAAAAAAAATTTAGTGACCAAAACACTAACAGTCTGTTTACTGGTGTACTATGTGAACTTAGATAATTATCTACGAGCTTAATGTTTTCAATAACCTGATTTGAACACTTCCATGTAGAAAAAAATCTAGTGTGATGATCAAACAACTTTCACTTACCTCCCTACTAACTTAAGACAAGTAATATAAATAACAATTCCATGCACCATAAATTTTAGGTTTACAAAGCTGAAAAAAAAATACTATATTTTCTGAATAAAATCCATTTAGTTTCCATAAAAACGTATTTTCCCACTTATTTCCCATTCAATAAAATAAAAGTAGGCATTATCAACAACGTAAATTAAGACATTAGTTTTTCATTACTTTCCATTATCATCTATAACCTTATATGTTAAATAATTATTTTTCTAAAATCTTTATCTTTCCAATCATATGTCATATACAATATATGCAGTGTGTTCCATAACTAGAGAAAAATATTTGAAGAAGTGACAGTAGACTTCAAGAGCTACAAAAAGTTAATATTAACAATGTGCTGATTTTCTACAGAAACGTAGGAAATTCAAGTTTTGTGATGATTTTTTTTTGTTTTTTTTTAGAGTTACGTTGTTTGCGGAATAGGAAGCGATAACTAAAATAAATAGTTAATTTAAGTAACTAACAATTACTTTACAGTAAACTAGACAAAATTTACTTTCAATGAAAGTAGAGTTTGTTATTGATAAAATCATTAAAATAGAACTTTTAAGCAGCTAAGATTTGTTTTTTAAAAATGTCTTACAATAAACATAATTTTATAAATACACTTTATATTAAAAAAAAAAAAGTATGCTAAAAATAATTATTTTCAAATATTTATCATCTAAAGATAAATTAAAGACTATACATTTATTATTACTCGGCTTTTCTATTGGGTATAATTTTTCCTGAAGGTTGAGCTAATATTCAAAGTAAGTTACATTAATTAGAAAGAAGAATAAGCTGCAACGAAATATTTAATAATAACTAGTTAAATATTAATCGGGATTGCTGGCTATAGGAGAGCTGAAACCAATGATACAGTTAAATAAAATAATACATTTAAAGTTTAATGAGCAAAATGTTAGATTCAACGAGATAAAATCCTATAGCATAGATGGAGAACCGCGGCCTCGGTGGCCAAATATGGCCTCTGTGACATAGTTGCGGCCTTCAAACGTTTTTGTGCGATATTTGTGGTAGAAATAATCAATATTTAATTATTTAAGTAACAAAATTTTGGAAATTAATAGAATTAAATTGAATGCATGTATGTGGGTATGTTTATTTAGTGATAAATAAAAATAGCAACAGTAAAATATAAACAATTATTATGGCCTCTATTAGCACTGCTTAAACTATCTAATGATAAAAAGGTTCCCCACATATGGACTATTGCATATGAACAACCTCAACTAAAAATTGTATAAATCAAACCATTTAATTGCTATGTATTCTAAAGACCGCATGTGGGATATATTTAATTATTTCAAAGGAATAAATAAGTCTAAATCATAAGTGCTAAAACCTGGGCGGTTGTTACCTGAGGGAGAGTAACAACCCACTATTGAGTGCAACCTTTTGTAGGTGGCAATGAAACACTTCAGGACAGAGGCAAGAACACCAAAGGACCGACAACGGCATGTTTGGAGAGGATCGAAGGGAACAGAAATACCTTCGAGAAAGAAGAAACAGAGTACAGCTTGGGAGGGTGGTCATCCCTTATACTAGGAAAATTCAGCCAATCGGAGAAAACTAAAAAAAGAGAGGGGGATGACAGAAATGTTGGAAGGAGGACACTTGAGGAAGACAGGCTGAGAGAGTAACATGGACTGAAGAGTCCACAGAGGCAGCTGGGGGTCAATCTAGGAGAGTCTAGGGAGGCAGCCAGGAGAAGAGAGACAGCTAGAGATGACGGAGACACCCCTCACCATGAAGAAACTGCTAAGTAGAAACATTCATTTAGTTATACATATGTAAACTTGTGTTGGCAATCATTAATAGAACCAATAGATCATAAGTAACTTCAATCAGGCATATCGAAAATAACATTCTCCTCTAGTATGATTTTCTACTACTCATATATGTTTTGGTTTTGTTTAAGTTTATAAATACAGTAGTTATTAAATCATCTTAGTAATTTTACAATCTAACTTGCATGCCACCAATTAGTTATAGAAACAAATAATAAATTTTTAAACATGATACCTTTGGAAAAGAAATTCAATAAGAAGTATATTAATCAATCTAGCATACTACAGTAGGGGATCTGTGGTATCTAACCTTTAAATACATAATTCATATATTTTTCAGTTGATCGGTTCCCTTTAGAAACCGATATAAATACAAATACTAATATTAAATATGTTTAATTAGAAATAAATGCGGTTCCTGAAACCCCCTACACGCCGTAGAAACGCAAAGTCCAGGAACTTAGCATAATTAACAAATTTTCTTATCAATATCAGCAATAACTTCAATAATTATTATAAATTTACAAGACTGGCCATTAATTCTTTAATAATTAAACAATAATTGAGTTAATCATGTTAATTGAACTCAAATTTTAATATTTAGATTCTGTGAAATATTGAGCATACATAATAAAAAAATGTTACATGTTCATTGTGGAATGATGAGTTCAGTTCTTTTTTTTTTTCCTCCCCTTCTTTGCCTTTTAGGCTCCACGGGTTTTATGCCGTAGAAGATGGGGGTATTATGCCGAGTTAAAAATCTCACGGGACACCAAGATTTGAACTCGTAATTATTTCTCCAGCTCTAATTTCGGTTATCAGGTTGCCAGACAGTGTGCAGTGCTATGCATAGGCGTTAGACTCAGCCACCTGCTATGAGTTCAGTTCTCAATTAGTGAAGAGTAGGTATGTTTCTAGAGAAATGTATATCTTGACAGTCTGGTGCTTTGAATTAGAATTCTCTCTTCTATTCCATCTTAGCCCTGGAGCCAGGGGCCAAAAATCATGAAAGTCTATGTTATTCTAAGTAAAATAACGTTTGTCTGCCATTCCAGAGCCGCTACTTTCAAAAATGGCGGCTGATTTAAAGAATATTAGGTCAGTAACTTCAGGATCGAAACGGGAAATTAATTGCGAAAATGTGAGAAAAGTTTTTATTTTTTTAACTTATAAATGTGGGTTTAGGTATGTAAAAAAAAAAATTGCAGATGCGGGCCACCAAGAGAAAACATTTTACAATCAAAAAGACAGATATTTTTTATATTTTTTTTGTTTTTCACCTATATCTTCTAAATGATGCATCAAAGTGAACATTTTACTCTTTAAGAAATTAAAGAACATTACATTTTGTATTGAAAGAGTACCTAAACCTAATAATTTGAATAAGTGGTATGGTAGAAAACCACAATCAACCAACATTATTTTTTACCAAATTTGTCAAAAACTAAGACAAATTACTATAAATGACCCTATAGCTTGAAAATGAGTTTCTTAAGAACAAAAATCCATAGAATCAAAGTTGTAGAGTATACAATTTTGCATCCACTAAGTACCAACAGTTTAAATTTCAGTCACTTACTCTGAACAAAATTGATAATCTCCTGATGGTTAGAAATTGGTAATGAAGGTGTGTGTGGTTTTCAATATTGCAACAGTATGGATATCTATTCTAGTGAGTTGTTCTTGTTTAGAGTCAGTGACAGGCAGTATAAGCTTCCACCTCTCAGCAGCAATGGATTTTGAGAAACGATGTGTCGAAAGATAATGAATTTAATAAATAAATAACGAATCCTGACTCGAGATATATAATTGACCTAAAATAAAATTGTTAGTACTCAGTGGATGCAAAATTTATTGCTCTACAACTTTGATTCTATGAGTTTTTCCTCTTAGGGAATTCATATCCAAGCAATAGGGCCATTTATAGTAATTTGTCTCAGTTTATGACAAATTTGGTAAAACTCATTGTTGGTTGACCATGGTTTTCTATTACAGTACTTAACCAAATTATCACACTTTAACATTCTGTAATTTCTTAAAGAGAACATTTTTCGCTTTAATACATCGTTTAGGAGTTAGAGGTGAAAAAACAAAAAAAATCTGACATTTTTGGCTGTAAAAAGTTGACCCGCATTACCTATCTTGTTTTTTATATGTTTAAACCCACATATATAAGTTTAAAAAATAAAAACTTTTCTCACCGTTTTCAAAATGAATTTCCTGTTTCGATCCTGAAGTTACTGGCCTAATATTCTTTAAATCAGCCACCATTTTTGTAAGCAGCAGCTTTGGAACAGCAGATAAACTTCATTTTACTTAGAATAACATACACTTTTGTAATTTACATTCAAACCTTCGCCTGGGATGAGGTGAATTTTTGGACCCTGGCTCCAGGGCTATCTTGTCTCTTATTCTCAAATTTGAGCTGTCGCATCCTGGGAATATTAAAGAAACTGGACTTTTTGTGATTTATAACTACAAATTTCTACATTTTCTGCTCATCTGCACCTCACCTCATAACACTTAAAAATTTACATTAAAATTTTGTTATGGTGTGGTTTCTATTTATGAACTATACATATAACTTCTTTAACCATACCATGCCATAATATATGCATATATAAATGAATATGTATATAATTATATGTATAATTTTTTTTTTAAAACAATTTAGGCCAACGATGGACCACGTATATATTACTTCTAGGTCTTTTTCTTTTTCCTTTCTGCCCTTATTCTTTTTATTTTCCCCCCTTCTCCTTCCTTCTCTCCTCTGTCCATTTCTTACTCTCTTGCTTCTTCTTATCCGCTACAAGAATCTTTGTAGTCTTCAATATTTTTCTGAATTTATCCTTGTCGTGGTAGTCCTCTTCTTTGATACCTACTGTTTTCACTTTTTCTTTTATTTGTTCTGGATAACCTTTCATGTTTTTCAGTCCCATTACTCTATCAAATATTTGTTTGTTCTCTCTATTCCAATCTATTCTCTTCATATGCCAGAAGAATTTTAATCTCCTTTTTCTCATCTCTTCATAAAGCTTCAAGTTTTCAATTTTTTCATAAAGCACTTCCTTCTTTTTTAAACGGTATTCTTCCCCCACCTTTCTGGCCCCGTATATTGTTCTCAGAATCTTTCTTTCTATTATCAGTAATGGTTGTTATCCTAATATTTGAACGAAAGTTTCAAAGAAGAATTTATGGGCCAGTGTGTGTGAATGGAGAGTGGAGAAGGAGGAAAAATCAAGATCTCTACCAGCGCTTTAATGAGACCAATATTGTCAATTATATAAGAGTCGTCTCAGATGGGCAGGTCATGTGGCCAGAATGAGAGACAATATGATCCCAAAGAAGGGTTTGGTTACAATCCTGCATAGTGCAACGAGTAGGAAGACCAAAGTTAAGATGGAGGGGCAGCGTGGACAAAGATGCCAGGAAGTTAGGAGTTCGAGACTGGATGGTGGCAGCACAAAGCAGGGACACCTGTCGGATGTTGTTGGCGGAGGCCATGACCCACTAAGTGGGTTGTAGAGCCAATATAATAATGATAATAATAATAATCAGTAATGGTTCCATATTGGTAAATCCCATAGTCTCCAACCATAGAGTAACACCAGTTTTATGACTGTTTCCTTCAGTTAATTTATCTGATTAACTGCCTCTTGTCCACTTTCCGTCATAAGTGACAGATCATCTGCGAAAGCCAAGCACCTGATTTTTACTGCTCTTTTCCCCCAATCCAACCAAAAGGGATGACAGAAATATTGTTATTACTACAAGAAGCAATTCTTTTCATACTGCACTACAGAGCCAAAATGAAATAACTAATTTTTTTTTTTTTTTATTCATTTTTAAAAAAAGTCATGGGAAAGAAAGTTGTTGAGCATTAAATTTTCATCAAGAATATATACAACTTTACAATCTTATCTTCAACCTTTCAAAAGGTAGAGCAATTATAATTTAACGTGTAATTCCGAGATTTTACAGAAAACATCTAAATTTCATATTTTTCATTATTCAATTGCTCTAAATCATTAAGCCAGTATTTACCTTTTCACATATAAATAGTATGTATTATATTTATAACTACCACTTAAATAAGTAATATGTATTATACACTATATTTTGATGTAAATTTGTACTTCTCTAAAAATAATATTGTTCAATATTATTGAAAACTATTCTCGAACCTGAGAGTTCAATAAAACTACTTTTAAAGCCCCAGTTCTCACCCCTACAGCAATGCAATGACAATATATGATGAAATACTAAAAGAATTACAATAAGTCCTACACGTTCTATATTTCAAATGATGTAAACAAATGCAGTTTTGGTCAGTGGCCTTTAAACACTATCCTGTGTGAGCTGTCTATAATTAAATAAATAAATTTAATCTCTATCAACTAAATCCTCGATCCACAACTGATAGAGTATACTGTTAATATACATGTTAACTGTAGATTTGCTCTGCAAAGCTTAGGGCATAGGGTGATACCAAGGTGAACAATAATTTATACGTAAGATTTTTAATAAATTCATTGTTAATAGTTTTATTAAAATATTTTAGATTTAATTTAGTAGCACTCATTCATCTAATATGAAAATTATACAGTAATAATGGTGATAGATTGCTAATTTTATCATGGTGGAAGGTAAAATAATTTTTAAACTAAACTTTTTCTTAGATTCCTCTATACCATATTTGGTTGGAGAAGCAGTTGAGAAAAGTGCGGCAGATCTCTGTTTGATATGAAATGTACATTAAGTTTTACAAACACAGAGCTTACTCTTTCAAAAGCCAGCTGAGAAGGTAACGAGCCCAGTAGACATTTATTTTTTCTAAAACAAAAAATCCAGTATGGTGCGCACATCACACAACTTTCACTTACTGCCCACTTTTTAGCAGAAATAAGTATTTTCAGACAAAGGGAAAGTGAAAGTAAAAATTATAAATGCTATACTGATTTATATTTCATTGTAGATATTTTTATGTTTTTAAGCATCCTTATATATACAAATTTTAATATTTATATCGCTGTAATCTATACAATTAAATATTAAATAATACAACGAAAACATTCAGGAAAACCGCATATGTATATGTACATAATATTATCAGAGTCCATATTATATTAAGCTCATGTTACTATGGAAGCCTGTTCTAATCATCAGACCAGCTCGGATGAGCTCGGCCGCGCTCATATCCCTTTGGTTCCTTCATTACAACTATTCTATGTTACCATCTCTTATTTCTTCTTTAGTTAATTATCAAATTCTTTCATATTTTATATTCAACTATTTTTTATATTACAGATCATTTTGCACGACTTGGTTATATGGACTCAGTGAGACCTCAAAACATGTATTGCCATTGAAAACTCAGATTACAAAATTTTCATGATCGTAATACCGTCCCTTACTATATATTTCATATAAAGATAAGTAAAAGTAAAAAAAAAAAAAAAAAAATGAAAACAATTTTACATTCAAGTGATAATACAATAAAAAAAACGGCTAATAAATAAAAACAGTAAACAAATATTGAACAAAGTAAATTACATTTGCATCTCTATTAAACTGTCCAAAATTAACCAATCTAAACTAATGCTAAAAATAAACAAACATATTACTAATATTAAAAGTAGAAGTTTTATAAAACAAAAAAAAATGTTGAATAACTTATTTATGTGGCTGTACACAGCTGACGATCAGTAGAAATGATCGAACAGGTGACTTCCAGATAGATAATTTATGAGAGCTCTTATTTTACATAAAGCTGCAATTGGGTAGTAGAAGAGTACACAGTGAAGGACTTTTTTTTTTTTTTTATTACAACTTACCCACCATTTCTGGCATACATGCGAGAAGGAGGGTTTGTTCTAGAGCAGGGATCTCCGAACTTTTTGGCCCGCTTGCCACATTGAGACCTCGACTAAGTACCATGGGCTGCATTGAGACCTTCACCCAAGTCCCATGGACCATGGCTTGTGATGGAAAAAAACATGTTCTATAAATGATACTTCAACTCTGAAATGAGCTTTTTAAGAGAAAATATCAATGCAATAAATGTTTTAGTAAGCTCATGTGTAAGTAATTTTGAAAATTTTTAATTTTTAAATAGGTTTTACAATTTTACTATGAAATCAAAGGAGCTTTCGCGGACCGGATTGATGGTGCTTGCGGGCCATAGTTTGGAGACAAATATTCTACAACCAAACCTATTCTAACCAGAGTGGGAAGGTCAAGTTCCATTCCGAAGGTCTGCCACGAAATAAAAGTCAACTCTTCCCAGGCCGTATTCGAACCGCACGTATTCACTAGGCACGAGAATACTGCAATGAGCTAGATAATCAAAACTTTAGTGCTTAACAACTTTCTCCCCATGACTTTTTCGTAGAATGAATAGAAAAAATAATAGAATGAATAGTGAAACAAAGATTATAATACAAAAATTTGTTTTTATTTTCAAATTAGCATTTATTGAGCATGGATATCTCAGAAAGTATGCAACATCATAGAAAAAATGAATATCATCAATATTACTGCAAATTTTATCCGCTTCAATTGTGTTTAGAACATCTTTATTACTAAGATGGATAGTTCCCCTGATGTAAGCAATAAACTGAAAAAAGTGACCTTTCTCCCTAAATCTAGATCACCTCCCAAGAGTGAAGACTTTTAATAATTTTAGCTAATAATTTTTAATTTAATTACTTTACCTCTTAACTAGACCAAATAGTCTTAATGTCAAAAATTGTGTTCCTTCTATTTCCCTCTATAATTATTCATTGACAGGAGTAAGAGTTTAAAGAGCCTGATATGCTTAACAATGTCATACCATTGAAAAAAAATTGTGATTCAGTTTTGTTAAAAGTACTATTATCTTTATACATTTATATGAATTAATTTTTCTCATCATAAGTTCAATATATATGTAAGAGATCCACCCCCAAAAAAATTTGGAGTCAAAGAGCAAAACATAAGATATGCATCTCATAAAATATTGTTCATTGAAAAAAAATTAAAATGGACACTTACTTTTCCTTTTTTTCCCAGAGTTGCTTCTTAGGATCTTTAACGCCTCGATGTTTTTTGCCAGGAATTTTTCGACCCATTCTATAACTACAAGACGATACCTATAACTACAAGACAGAAAAGGATGATCCAAAAACAACAAAACAAAACCAAGCCCACGTTGGGGGTTATAACAATGCGAGAACCTCCTGTTCACAAATAACCTGAATGAAGCAATGTTGAGAAACTTGAGTTATGCAGGAAAGAATTTATTTCGGAGGTAAGATTCTCTTATCTTTTAAATCTTAACATGTATCATATTTTGATAATACCATCATTTTGTTCTGCATTCAGGTACCCCATCCTAATTAGTCAAACTTGCTCAGTTCAAAATTCAACTAGTGATGAACCAGTCAAATTTACTGCCAGTAAAGCTAGTCAATGGAAAGCTTCTTATACACGTTCAGGAGATGAAAAAGAAAAGGATGAAGCCGCTTGGTTTGAACCCTATGTAGTTAGCTTAAGCATCATTGTTTTCATGCTGTATTTTTGTGTACTCAGAGAAGAAAATGATGTAGATGAAATGCTGGGAACTTCTCTGTATGACAGAATAGAAGGTTTAGAGGAGGCCCAATTAAGAATTCTATTAAGCTACAACTTGGATCATGGGAAAGAAACATCTGACATAAAGAAAAGAATTCGAGAACTAGAACTTATGAGGGGAAAAGTAGGAGAATCTTAAGACAACACACCTCGTATTAGAATGGATTTAATTACCTATAACTCAGTGATGCAGTTTTAAAATAAAATAAATGGTGAAGAGTTGGATATTGTATTTTTCCTTGAAAATTGTATTTAGGAAAAGGTATTCTAATCTTATTTACCTACAACTTCTAGGGAGAAAACATATGAGAATTATCTAGTGAAGTTATTGTTTTTTATTATTATAAGTTATTATTGTATCCACTGAACTGTCATGGAATTTTGTATAAAATACAATGTGGTAAACTAAGAAATGAAATTAAATTAATTCTTATTCCTATTTTTTTTTTTCAGTTATGTCAAATAGCACAAGGTGATGTGATTGTGTTTGGCTTCTACTTAGATTTTACTATAGATTACCATTAATTTGATCAATAACTTTTTTCAAATTTTACCTTTTTGATTATTAAACATTACATTTTAATCATGACAATGACTTCTTAAGGTGTTGACTGACTATGACAAATGGGAAAGGAATATAGACTAGTCAAATGAAGGGTGAACTTGAAAAAAAAAAAAAACTTTTCAAAAATTGAATTGGTAAAAAGATTCAGAAGCTGTATTCCATATATCAAATGTAAAAAAAAAAAAATTGTTATAGCAATTATTTGGATGAGGATTGCATGGTTCCACAATCACTTTGGTCACAGTGCATCCAGTTTTATCCAAAAGACTGTTTTCGCCATATCATGAACAAGTGTGACCAAAGTGATTGTCAACCACATGTACCCCGTGCGGTCCTCATCTAAATAATTACTCCTTTAACTCCCACTTACTTAACTATATATGTAATATCTAGTAAGGGATAGTATTACTATCATGAAAATTTGCGAATCTGAGTTTTCAGATCCTCGTTAGTCCAAATAAGAAAGCTAAAAAATGGTGTGTGAAAGGTCTAGCATAAAACTGAAATTATTTAAGGTAGGTGTGAGGCTGTGACAGCAACTTATTCCTTAAAAACAGATGGAGGAATGAGGTTTTCATTGCCTACTGTTGATATAATTAGTAGGGTATTTGTTATGTTAATGTCCTTAACAAGTTGTTATAGATTAGCTGTAAAGTTTAATATTTAGCTCCATTGTAAATTCACTTCAAAATGCTTCAGTACCCCAACATTGCCAGAAAATCACTTCTGTCCAAAGTAAAGCGGTAAGTCAAAGTTGAGTGATGGGCACAAGATATTTTTTTTCACATTATAACACCTTAGAAAAGTGCAGCTTTTCATTCTTAATCCAGTGGTCTAATTTTAATTAAAAAAAGAAATGCCCCTCCTTAACCTTCAAATATAACTATGATTTGGCAAAATAGAACTTGCTTTGATAAAAGTCTTCAGCCAAAAATAAATATACCCTAGTATCTTCTTAATTTGTGGCACAAATATAATCTCTTAAGAATTAAAAAAATCTGGTGCGGGCAACACCCAACTTTCACTTATTGCTCTATTTTGAATAGAAATTATTTTCTGGCAATGTTGGGATATTATAAAAATTTTTTAATGGAGTTAAAGCTTATAGAAACTAGTCTTTAAGAGCATTAAAATTAAATGCTCTTAATTATTTTAAATAAATAATAATAAAATATTATTATGAGTATTTTCACTTATTTCTATTTTGAATAGAAATTATTTTCTGGCAATGTTGGGATATAAATTTTTTTTAATGGAGTTAAAGCTTATAGAAACTAGTCTTTAAGAGCATTAAAATTAAATGCTCTTAATTATTTTAAATAAATAATAATAAAATATTATTATGAGTATTTTCACTTATTTCTATTTTGAATAGAAATTATTTTCTGGCAATGTTGGGATATAAATTTTTTTTAATGGAGTTAAAGCTTATAGAAACTAGTCTTTAAGAGCATTAAAATTAAATGCTCTTAATTATTTTAAATAAATAATAATAAAATATTATTATGAGTAGGTGATTGCCATGTTGAAATATAGAACTGTGAATAAAGGTTTAAATTTTGTTTAAAACATCACTAAAATTAGTAATAAAGAATGTTGAAATTGGAGTTAGTCATTCTGACAACCGAAACATTCATATATGCCTAGAGAGATTTCATCTGAACATTTAACCTATAAATCATTATGGATCTTAGAACTATTAGTTATTAAACTGGTATTTTCCATTGTAAAGTTTACTAAAATGAAATCATGAGATTTTCGTTATCTGCCTGGTCAAAAGTTGTCGTACTAATTGTAAGTGGATAATGTTGGGATTTCACAAAGGGAAAATTCATCAAATTATTCTCTAATTAAGTTCCTAAAAGGTTATTTGATGATTTTTTTTAAATAAATAGCCAATCGATACCTAATTATTTAAATATAATATCATATCTAGAGTTATTAAACTACATCAAAAGTATTTAAGGCTATAAACATATCCATAAAATATTTTTATATTTCATTTCTTTCATACAAGTACAATGAAATACTATTTTGAACAATAGCACTGGCTTGATTCGGTGGATTTTAAATACTTTTTCAAATGTAGAAAAAAGTTTACATTTAGTAAGAAAATTTCATTGGAAACTTTTAATTTACTTTAAATGTTAGTTTTCTGAAATTATTTACATTTTTTTCATCACTCAGCATTACCTTCTACAGCTTTATTTTTTTTTTAATTTTCCGCTTTCCGATATATTGCACGTATACCTTCTGACTATTATTTCCGCAGATTCATTTTCAACCTGGATAAGCATTATTCTTTTTTTCTCCTTTATTCAATTATCAAATTCTTTCAAAAGTTATAGTTAGCGTTTTTCGTAACTCTTAATAATGTGAGATGATTAATTATTTAAAATAAACCATATTAAAGGAACTTTAGAGGACGACTTATACGAACATTGTGCATTTAAGCCCTATAAAGTGCCATTAATGGGGATGAGATATTAAAGCCCACTTCATATCACAATGATACACACAGTTTAATCAAAATAGTTACGAGCCGTTTTTGAGGATATTATAAAAATGTGTTTCAGCATTGATATAGTGGCACTTCCGGTTAGTCGATTTTTAAAAAGTTGCTGTCACTTCTAAAGCATGTACCTATCTTAAATGCGTAATATCAGTTTCGTACAACTTTTCGTTTTAGAGCTAGACTGATAACATTTAACACAGACCATTTTGCAAGACTTGGTTATTTAGACTCAGAGAGACCTCAAAACATGTATTTCCGTTGAAAACTCTGATTCTAAAATTTTCATGATCGCAATACTTACTCTTACTATATATTTCATGTACAGATAATTTAAAGTAAAAATGGATATGATAGGACAAGTTCTTAAACTCAGCACTGAGCAAATTTATGACATCATTTAGGCCTTTTAGAGATCTATCATCTTGGTGCAGAGTTTATAAACTCTTGCTCATATATTTTAGGACAATATGTATATTTTGCATCACATACTCTGTCACATACTTTTAATAGTGTAGAAATGAACAAGTAAGAACATACAGTATTATTTAATTAATAACTTAGAAGAGGTGTAAATGACAAGTACACAAGATTTTACAATTAAACAACTAATTTTATTTTAATCAATAGCATATTATAATATGGGATCCTACAATTAAAATCAAATTATAAATACTCTTAAAATAAAAAATGAGATTTGTATCATAATAAACAACCTATGTTGAGATGAAATAATCATTAAATACTTATGTTAAAGATGAACATACCAAAACCTGCATTGTTTACATCTATGGTATTGATACATACATAAACGATGAAATGCAAAATACTACTTACTGAAGTAAGATAAAAAGTCGTACAAAAATGAAATAACAAAAAATACTAGACAATGATAGAAAGCTACTAAATATATATACTTTTTATTTGATTGATTTCACAATATTCAGAAACAGGCTAAACCTAAACATTCAGTCTAACCTGACACCAGGCGCAATAAGGTACACTCAAAAGAACAATTTACATTAAAAAAATTAATGTCCATACAACTGGAATCAACACCATCATGATATAACTTGATCCAGACACGGCAGTGAAGACGCTCTGATGCCAAAATGGAAAGAAATATTAAATCAGAAACTTGTAGAGCAATTTAAGCCCTCTCTCCTCGGATTCTTCTTGCGAGTTGAATGTCCTTCGGCATAATGGTAACACGTTTGGCATGGATAGCACAAAGATTGGTGTCTTCAAATAGGCCGACTAAATAAGCTTCACTTGCTTCCTGTTAACAAAATCAACAAATGAATCAATGAAAGAAGCAAGCCTAAACATAATAATTATTATTGCTATGGTTGTAACAGGACACTAATAATAAAATTGGGGCACCTAAAAATCAGATCAAATATGTACTTTCTACTAAATATAGAAAACGTTATAATAAGATATGTTTTTTAACTATTCAGAAGTATAATACAGTATATGATCATATATTATTGAAGGAAGCTATTTAACTGTTCTACATATCATGGGTGATAAATATTCAGGACACATTGTTTCTGAAAAAAAAATTTTTATTTGTGCCAACATTTAAACCTAAACATGTGGGTCATCTTCAGAGCTGAAAACTTTTAAATACAACCAGAGATATAATATTATACAACTGATAATGGTAAATAATAAACTATAGTGATTGGCGGCACATGAATATTAACTAATATTATAATATACCTATTAAAAATGAAGTATGTAAATAGTTATATAACTATTTATAACCAATATGTGTATTGTAATATTAGCTAAGATTCATGTACCATCAATCACTATAGTTTATTATTTACCATTATCGGTCGTATAATATTATATCTGATTATATTTTAAAAATTTTTAGGGCTGAAGATGCTCCATGTTTGGGTTGAAATGTTGGCAAAAATTAAAAAAAAAAAATTTTAAAAAGACTGCGTCCTGAATGTTTATAACCCATGATCATATATTATATAAATGTAGTGAAAAATATTTCCATCTAATGTTAATTTATTAATAAATCATTTACTTAAAAACATATTAAAAATCTTTGTCATTAAGGTTTTAATCTTTAATAAATAATGTACAATCAATTGATTTACCTAATAACTAAGAACTTCATAAGAATATTTAGTCATACTTACTAAATAAAAATATTTTTTTTTAAATAAAAATTGTCATTTAGTGTAATAAAAGTTTTCAATAATTAAAAAAATTAGATTTCTTCAGATTATGACACTTTTAATATTTAATAAATTGTGTTCTATTTATAAAATATTTATATTGACTTTTTAGGTATGGGATAAAACTTAAGTATTGCACAGTATTTATTAAAGAATTAAACCCTGATGATGAAATCTCGAATACATCAGTGAGTAATGGTTTAATTAATAAAATGACATACGGAAGTCTTTTTCACTTTAGTTATATATCTAAAAAAAATTTTATATTAAATTCATGAAACATGGCAAGAAAACTATTTTTGTAAAGTAAACTTTTTTGAATTACGGTCAAATAATATAATAAATTAAATTTACAGTAGACAATTAACTGGCAATTCTGTTTAAAGCACCAATACTTAGTGGATAATTTGGAGAGAATCTCCAAAACATTCACAAATATAATGAAATGACTGTATCGATAATAAAATGACGTTAAATGAACATCTTTTATACTATATTTATGTATCAGAGAAAAATGTTACATCAAATTCACGAAACAAGGCAAAAAAAAAAAAACTATTTTTCTAAAGTAAATTGTTTTGAATTAATGTCAAATAATATAATAAATTAAGTTGTCAGTAAAACATTAACTAGCAATTTCTGTTTAAGCACCAATACTTAGTGGAGACTAACATGAAATAATAGTTTAAACACTAATTTATCATAACAAATTAGGTGTAATATATCATTCATTAAAATATAAGCTAACAAATTATTTGACTGCTAGTTCCAAGATCACTTCAAGCACACTTTAGAAGGGACCTCATCACAAGTAGTGTGTCTAAATGCACAAATAGATGTTCAACCCAAACCAAACTTGATGTTAGGTTAGGTCACCTCATAATAATATATATGCACAACAGTATGAACAGTTATGGAAATATTAATTAAATTTTTAACTTTTTCCTTGAAATACATACTGAAAAAACATTTAAATTTTGAGCCTACAATAATACCAATACTCTTATGAATTATCAGGATTAACGAACCCCAGAAATCAAAATCTAGTTTATAATTAAAACAAATTTCTTCACATCTTAAAATGTATGTTCAGTAATACATCAGATATTACTTGTATACTCAGATACATAAAGAGATATAATATTTAACATTTTAAACCACCCAAAAAAGAAAATTTCATTTTTTTATTAAGAAACATACACTATAGACTAACATTACAGTCATTAGGTATGTACACATTTTGGTCACTTGGATACAATCTAGCAGTATGCTATAATTGATATTGAATGTTAGAGTAGAGTTCCAGGAATTAACATTTGATACAAAACAATAACAAATATTTGAGTTAGGAATGTAGATGAAAAAAAAAACATCCGTCACCCTTACTTGTAAAGCTCCAATGGCAGCACTTTGGAAACGCAGATCAGTTTTGAAATCTTGTGCAATTTCACGAACCAATCGCTGAAAAGGCAATTTCCTGATCAGCAACTCAGTAGATTTCTGGTATCTCCTAATTTCTCGAAGAGCAACAGTACCAGGCCTATAATCAAGAAAATTTTAATCAATATCAGATTCAGTACACATAAGTAGTTCCACTAATCAATCCAAAATTCACATACCTGTAACGATGCGGTTTCTTTACACCTCCAGTTGAAGGTGCACTTTTTCTGGCAGCTTTAGTTGCCAATTGCTTACGAGGAGCTTTACCTCCTGTTGATTTACGTGCGGTTTGCTTTGTACGAGCCATAATTTACTAAAATAAAACAAATCACAAACAATTATCAGATGTTTGATATAATAGTTTCTAAATTACACTAACAACATGAAATAACATCCAAATGGTGTAATAACAGCAAATTAGGCCGGTATTAGACAAAAAACTTCAATAAACAACTAATCCTACTACCACAGCTACCATTTAGGAAGATATTATGTAAGTTGAGTAATTAATGTAAGAACTAAATTAATAGATGTAAGTGAACCTACTAAACTGTCACTGTATTTCAAAATAAAACCTATTGTAATACATGGATACTCACAAACAAATTCCAATAACCAAAACACGAACTAACTCGTTTGATGACAATAGACGCTCTAGCGCTGCCAAGGCTATTGGTAGAAACTACCGCTTCCAGCAAGCTGATTGGTCAAAATAAGGACGAATTTGATTGGTTGGAATCCATACTGCGACAAAACGCTATTGGCTGAAATAAAACTGATTTCTATTGGTGGAAATATTCGTAACCTACAGTTTCCTGAGATACTGAATAGATGATTAATGATTAATGACTTAATACTCTTGTACATATGTTAATATTAATGTTTTAAAATTAATATACATACAAATTTTTTTTAATTTAATGTAATAATAGTTTATCATTATTTTTTTAAAGATAGATATGCAGAAAAGTATTTACATAATTAATAATTGTTACATATTAGAGTCACAAAACGTTTCCATGATTCAGACACAACAAAATAACTGGAACAATAAAATCTTAGGAAAACAATAGTACCTGCATTTTATTGTACTGTTTGTACCGTTCGAATAGTTAAACAAGATATATTCATCAAATAACCAAATAATATTAAAATGAGTTAATCTAATGTATTACAAAACGTGTGGTGAATTATGTCCTTTCCTGCATAATGCTTAATTTATCCTTGTTGAACAGATTCGCTACCATGGACGCCTGGACAAACATCATATTTGAAATCCTCATATAAGATTGAAACGACAAAAAACTAAGATCTAAAAAAACTGCTATACGTTTCTATCTAGTTCAGCACTTAATAGAAAAGTGCTCTGCGCTTCCAATTAACTTTAAAAGACTCATTTACATGACTACAATAAGGCCTATTCTTAAGGTCAGTTTGGACTTAAGGAGTTGAGCATTGGGAAACCAATAAACCAGGGGTTTCCAAACCACCGCCCGCAGACTCGATCCTACCCGCAAGTACTTCAAATCCGGCTCGCGAAAGTTCTTTAGATTATAGAGTAAAATTTAACAAAAATTAGTAAATCACTCAAACACAAGGTTACTATAACATTTATTGCATGCGTTATTTCTTTTAGAAAGCTCATATCACAATTAAAATGTATCATTGATAGAAAAAACTTTTGCTTATCAAAATAATGAGGTTATTACATTTTAGGTTTTATTCAAAAAGTTAATTTACAATGTATTGTTCGTTCGATTCCAAACGTTACTGGCATGATACTTACTGCCTTCACTAAAATTTCATTCAATTTTCAGTTAATTTTAATTAAATTAATGAAGAGAAGAATAGTTGGGGTGGTCAGTCAAAAAGGAAGGCAAAAATAAATGATAATATTTATTTTTTACATATGCCGACGTTTCGACCTGAAGTTCAGGCCTTCATCAGGGCTAAGAAAATAACCCGATAACAAGGTATGAGAAACATAAGTAACATAAGGTAAAAAAGATAATAAAAAATAAAATAAATTAGAAAAATAAAATAGATGAATATAAAGTAAAATGAAATTGTTAGAATAATGACTAAGAACTAAGAGATAAATAATAAAAACCGTTACAAAGTGTGGAATGATGAAGTAGGCATAATCAAAAAGGGTGACAAAAGTGTTACAATGGGAATCTTAGAATAAAATATAAACCATAAAAAAGAAATATGAAGTTATATAAGAAATGAAAATAAATAGTAAAATTAAAACATTGAGAATGGAGTAGTTAGATAGAAAATTGAGATATTGTAAAGTCTATCAAGATGTACAGACAATGTATAATATAATAAAGAGTTAAAAACAGAGAAAAGGAATGAAAGGAAGGAGAGAAGAAATTGAGAAAGCTGAAATAAGAACGAAATAAAAGAAGTACTACCTGTCTCCTTAAGTGACGCAGGGAGAATAAAAGTCGTTACAAGGGAGGGGAAGAGAAAAGAGATGTGTAGGTGGCGTCATCTCTAACGGTTATCCGACGAAGTATGAACTAAAGCGCGGATAACCGTCGGATAACCGTTAGAGATGACGCAACCTACACATCTCTTCTCTCTCCCCCTCCCTTGTAACGACTTTTATTCTCCCTGCGACACTTAAGGAGACAGGTAGTACTTCTTTTATTTCGTTCTTATTTCAGCTTTCTCAATTTCTTCCCTCCTTCCTTTCATTTCTTTTCTCTGTTTTTTAACTCTTTATTATATTATACATTGTCTGTACATCTTGATAGACTTTACAATATCTCAATTTTCTATCTAACTACTCCATTCTCAATGTTTTAATTTTACTATTTATTTTCATTTCTTATATAACTTCATATTTCTTTTTTATGGTTTATATTTTATTCTAAGATTCCCATTGTAACACTTTTGTCACCCTTTTTGATTGCAACGTACTAGACACCCCACCGATCATCAATCCTATAATTACTTCAGTAAAAAATTAAAACAGGAATTAGTTAGCTACCTTCAGATCCCAATCCTTCAACTCCTACCTTACTTCCCTCTCTCCTCATGACAATTCCTTATGGAAGATCACTAAAAAAATCCTAAAATCCCATCATATTTCATATCCTCTCCGTTGAGGTAATCGCTCTTGGGCATCGTCTTATAAAGATAAAGCCAAGGAATTCGCTAAACATCTTTCCTTTGCATTCCGGATCCAACCCCATCCATACCACTGCAGTACAGGAATTCCTTAATTCACCCATCCCACTCTCCTTACGGTCTAATGCAGTTGGGCCTTCTGAGGTCAAACACTGCTTACGAAAACTATTTACCCGAAAATCACTCACTTTCCTATTTTATGGAAACATTCTACTATTGTCCTATTTCACAACTGTCTATATTTTCAGGGGTAATGATAAAGGTCAGCACAAATGTCTACATTTGCAGGACTAGTAATAAAGGTCGACAGCTATCTCGACAACATAGCCCGGATACAATTCACGCAATTCGGCGTTGTGTAACCGTCTGAATTCTCCGGTTAACTCACCCTTCTTTGGTCCGAAAATTCTACGCAATAATTTATTTTCCAAAACCTTAAGAATTTGCTCGTCCCTTGATGTAAGCGGCCACGTTTCGCATCTATAAAGAACCATAGGTAGGATAATGGTTTAATAGATTCTAATTTTTAAGTTCCGGGACAGGAGGCATACACTAAGTAATTTTCTCAAAGAAAAATAACAAGCATTTTTCCCCTTCAGCCTAACCTTAATCTTCTCTTTAATACCTAAATTTCCCTACTTGTTCAAACAAATTACCTTCTATATCGATATCATCGTAATTATCGCCATTTCTACAGATTTTTTTTTTATTTATTGAGTATTAACACAATCTGCCACTTGGACATTAGTTGTAATAAGGTAGAATAACATTCCCACTATATGTACAAAAAATATAAAATAAATAGAAGCAAAATAAAAATAAATAATATTCAAAAAGTATATACAATAAATAAAATAACTTCAAAATAAGGAAATTAAAATAAAGTCTGCAGCTAACCATATATTTTGTCTTATATGTATTAGTTTTATAGTTTCCGTGTTTTTTTTTCTTTGTTTTTTTTTTTGCCCTCCCTTTGTTCGCCGTTAAGGCTATACGGGGGTTTCCCCGGACAGGGATTTAAAAAGACTCCTTCGACATCGGGACGCGAACTCGTGACTATTTTCATATCATTTGAATGATGATATATCAATTTGCCGGGCAACGGTAATGCTGTGCACACGCGTTAGCCCATTCGGCCACCCCGCCCTTGTTTCCGTGTCTTCACTTATCACCGGCATAGACCAGCACAAGTGTTATCCCACTAGATTCAACCCTTTTTAGGCACGCATTTCCTCCCTTATACGCGTGTTCTAATGCCAAATTAAACAAGAAAGTGAAAGGGAATCAACTTGTTTTAAACCAGAACGACCCTCAAACTTTTGGAATAATTGATTACAGATTCTAACTTTATTAAGTGTTTCCATTAAACACATCCTGGATAATTTTTTTTTTTTTTTTTTTTTTGGAATCCTCTGCTCCATTAAAATATTATACAGCTTCTGGCGGTAAATAGAATCGTAAGACTTTTTGAAATCGACATACAGTTGGTGAACAACGCCATTGTATTCTAATTGTTTCTCCAATATTGGCCCCAAAGAAAATATTTTATCAATAGCTGAATGGCTCTGTCTAAATCCGCATTGATAGTCTCGGTATATACAGTGATTCGATTTGCAAGGATTTATGTAAATATTTTATAACAATCGAAAGGAGTGAGATTCCTCTATAGTTATTACAACCCATCCTCGAGCCCTTTTCATGAATCGGAACAAGAATAGATTCTATCCATTTGTCAGGAAATTCCTCATTCTTCCAGATTTTTTTAATCAATAAATGTATTTTCGAAACCCCTGCTTCCCCGCATGCCTTAATTAGTTCACTAGGAATATCATCGATTCCCGCTGCTTTATAAGATTTTAGTTTTCCAATAGCTACTTCAACTTCCTTTACTCGGTTTTTCTATTAGCGGTTCAGCATGCTGGTTTTTCATCATTCGAAAAACCGACCATTCATTCACGAGATAAAAGAGGAAAAGCGAATGAAAATTCGGAAAAATGTCTACATCAATTCTCCATTTTTATATATAATATATTTAATTAAAATAGTAGTAATACGAGTTTTAGAAAAATTTAATTAATGAATAGACAAAAACAAATATTTTTTCAGAATGTTTTGAATAATTTTATTTATGCTTGACAGGGACTAAAGAAACACGATGTGAATTAACCATTTTAACAAATCTGGTAATATTTCGGTATTTTTATATTATGGAATATTAAAACATAAGGTGATGATGAACTAGATATAAAAAATATTTTATTTTCAGTTATTAAATTTAAAATATATAGTAAGTAATGTTTTATAATATTTTTAATTTTCATATTTTGCGTACTATTAACCATTAAAAGTCACGACTTATATTCCCATTCAATGAAAGTGTATTCGATATTTATAATTGACAGATTTTCGATATTTGCCAGAACGGGTGGAGGGTCAACATAGTAAATAGGCCAGTCAGAAGGAGGTAACGTAATAATTGCAGGGCCGTTCAACATACATCTTGTCCTTAAGTCCCATCACAGGCGGATCTACGGAGGGGGGG